GAAAGAGGGACGGCAGATGGAGGAAGAGGAAGACAGCGAGAGAGAGAGAGAAAAGGGATTGATGAGAGGAATAGAGAGATGAAGTAGAAGATAGGAAGTAGGAGAGAGAAATAAGAAGTAAGAGATTGCTGGCAAGAAAAAGGGAGTGGCAGAACTCTATAAAAGAAAGAGGAAAGAATTGGTGGGAAGAGAGAGAGAGAGAAAGAGAGAGAGTGATGAAGAGGTGCAGAGGTTTTGAGTGATTGGCTTTGTGCCCAGAATTAGTCAAACTTAAACTGGAGCTGAGTGAGGAAATACAGCACACACACACACACACACACACACACACACAATAACTCAGCCATAACAATGTGTATACCTCATACATTTGTGTGCATTACTTATACCCTAAAAGTATCAGCAACTCATCGCTTGCTAAGTTGAATGCAGGCTTAGAGTAGTGTAGCTAGAGTGTGCGTGTGTGTGCGTGTGTGTGCGTGTGTGTGCGTGTGTGTGTCTGTATGTTACTTCTCACCCTGACAGTAGTGTAGTTAGAGATCTCCTGGACGTGTAAAATTGTTCCAGTATTGCTGCGAGTGCGGAACTTCAGCTCCAGGCTGCTGCTCTCGGAGTGTGTATGCGAGTGTCTTTGTGACTGTGGGTATGTGTGTGAGAAGCTCTGCAAATTCCGCTGCATCATCACGTCTCTCTTCCAGCTCTGACGAAAAGAGTAATCCAAACGGCCGCTACCGTCAAGGGATAGAGCCGAATCTGCAGAAATGACTAGAAGAGAAAAAGAGAAAAAATCCTTTTAAATTACTCTTCAGGTACGTCCTTCTCCATCAGTATCTTACTCCATCGCTCTATATAAAACCAGCCTCTGCTTGGTCTTACCCCATTGACCTATATCAAACTGCCCCATATTACCAATCCTACCCTATTATTCTACATCAGACTGCACCCTCTGACCTGACTTACCCCACTGATCTACTGTATATTAAACTGCCCCCTTTGGCCCATCTTACCCCACTTAACTAGATCAAAGTTCCTCTTACCCCATCGATCTGCCCAGTCTTCCCCCTTCTTATCCCACCTCGCCTTCCACCCTGTCTTACCCCATTAATCTATATCAAACTGCCTTGTTTGACCTTTCTTACCCCATAAATCTATATCCGACTGCCTTCTTTGACCTTTCTTACCCCATCAATCTATACAAACTGCTTTTTTGACCTGTCTTAACCCATCAATCTATATCAAACTGTACCCTCTGACATATCTTACCCCATCAATCTATATCAAACTGCCCCCTCTGATCTGCTTACCCCATCAATCTCTATCAAACTACCCTCTTTGACCAATTTTCCCCAATCAATCCAAATCGTCCCCACTGAATCATATTCCTTACATTTCTCACAGTATTTGCCCGTGAGTCCTTCAGCGCATTGGCACTGTTGCCATGACCACATGTCCAAACACGTCCCACCATGCCTGCAAGGGTTAGTGACACACGCTCCTTCCATCCTGGGACATCTGCAAGACACACACATAAAGACAACATTTTGATGTACTGACAGACAGACAGAGAAGCAGATGAGATGATCCCACCATTAACAAAACCAAATGGAAAGAGAGCGAGCTGCATTAGCATATTAGCAAAAGATCTGTCGCCTCCATTTTATAAACCCATAAAAACACCACATGTTTTTTCTAGCTTACAAAAACAGACATTTGGACACTAATAAAAGTGTATCAGACAGCAGGCGATTGACTGAAGTGTGATCTTCAATAGCTGCCTGTTGAGGGCAGTGGGTTCACAGAGTGTGTATGAATACAGTAGAGCCCGAAAGAGTCCAGTACCAAGAACTGTTTTTATTTCAATAGTTATCAAAACACTTATACTACTGTATCTCTCTCTCTCTCTCTCTCTCTCCATATGAAACATACTTGGTAAAGGTGATCCCAGTCATTTTTCCTATTCCTGCCTGTCTGAGACAGTGTGTGTTTTCAGAGTTCTTCTCCATCAACCAAGCTAACAGTATACACAGATGAGCTATGGTTTTCTTTTAGCCTTCATCAACATCTTGCCTTCGCCATACAAGACAGTAGTGATAAATATACCACAGGCAAAGATATGGTGTTTAGCTCAAGCAAGACTTAAGACAATTAATCAAAGGTGTGCCAGTCAACACGCACAGCTGTGAAGAGACGTGAAACATACATCCCTGGTATAAATTATCATTTGTTGTTTGCAAAGTTGGCATTTTCAGCTTAAGTTGTCTGTCTGAATACTTTCTTAGTTACTCTCTAATCTCATAACAAAGGCAAAAACCTTTGTTGTGATATTCAGGTAGGAGCTAGTGCAGTATAGCTAGCAAGTATCTAATCACTAAACTACTGGAGTAGTTGGCCAACCCTAAACACCCTAAACAACAGACGAGAAGTATAAAATGGACAAACATGGTTACACATGCATCACTTCAATAGTAGAGGACAAAAAAAACTTAATTTCAATCCAGATATTAAGGCAACTGCAGTAAAATAGGTGAAATGAATGTAGCCTACCTATAACTATGGTTATGTGTGTGTGTGTAAAAGTGTATGTGTAACGCACCTATCTAAGATGCCTTGAGATGATAGAGCCTGAGATGGTTCCAGAGGGCGTCCGTTGATGGCAAATTCCATGATGCAGCCGACAAAATCATGTGTGTTCACCTGATTTTTGCGCTGTAAGAGTGGTTCGATCGCCCGAACACCGCCGACCGACAAACGATTCGGCTGTACGTCCAAAATCCTGTGAGAATAAATGAGAGAGAGGATAGGAAGAAAGATGTTGAGGAAGAAGGAGATAGGGAGAGAGACGAAGGGCGCGAAAGATAGAGAAAGACAGGCAAAGGGAGAGATAGAAAAAAATATAGAATACCGAAAATGCAAGACAGCGACAAAGAGAGAGAGATAGCGAAAGATAGAGTGAGACCGAAAGAAAGCAGAGAGAGAAAGGGAGACCGAAATATGAGACAGAGACAGAGCGAAAGAAAAACAATGAGAGACAGAGAAAAGAATATAAAGACAAACAAGGCAGAGAAAATTAGAAAGACAGTCAGACGGAGAAAAAGATCGGGTTAGTAACTCCCAGAGGACACAGAGGCTATTGTTTCCAAGTAAACCTCACCATGACAATAAATGATGATGATAAAAATAATTTAATTAGCTGCATGTAGTTTAATTACCAAATGAAGTTAATTTGCATAATTAGAAAATTTGAAGTAAATTTGATGTAGAAAACTAGGAAAATATAAAATTGTTGTGTGTTTCCTACAGCTACCATTGTAAAGATAAGTGCGTATTCACCAGTCAGTATGGACAGCCACATTGCTGACGGCGCAGTACCCGGGCTCCTGTTCTTCTCCACACAGATCAACAGTGAGCGATGCAGCCTTACAAAGGAAAAAGATACTCCATTACTTGTTAGCAAAATTAGCCTCAAATTAGCCTTTGCTGCAAGGACTTCATATTAGGAATACAGGTTTTCCTATACAGGTTAAGGAAAACAATGCTAACAAATTAACAAAACCTGAAGACTAGTTAGAATGGCTGCAAGAAGTTTTTTTTTTCCATCTTGCATCCTTTTCACAGCAAAAAGTTGAGGTAAGGTCAACAAACAATGCTAACAACACTAACAATCAACAAAACGTATTGAGGAGAAGTTAGCAAGGCTGCCACGGGTTTCCTTTCTTTGTATCCTTCACACTGCAATGAATTGAGATGAGAAAAAGAAAAACAATGCTAACAAATAGTCAAACCTATTAAGGACCAGTTAGCATAGCTGCTAGGATTTTCTTTTCCTTTGTATCCTTCTTAATGTAATGGCTTGTGGTGGGGTAAAAATAAACAATGCTAACAGAGCTAGCAATTAAAGAAACATATCAAGGACCAACTAGCATGGCTGCTTGGAGTTTCCTATTTTTTGTATCCTTCTAAATTGAGAAGACCCCAAACTAAAAGTTCACATGAGGAAAAATGAGATCAGGCAGAATTGTTGTGAATGAAATAAAGAGTTACAGTGAGTTAAATAGAAACATCATTCCTCTCTCTTGTTAAACAAACACACTATGGCTCCTCACTGTCATTGTGTCCAAACCCACAACTCTGTGGTTTATGAACAGAGGGAGGAAAGACAGTCGTGGCAAGAGAGATGGAAAGAGCGCAAAGGTGTTGAAAAACAGGGGGCGAAGCTTGGCGCCCATACAGGCCTCTGGGTAAACACAGCAAAAACCCGCAAAAAGCCCCTGTTCCTAATCGTTAACGCAGAGCTGTGGCTTGGGCGAGTGAAATACGGCTGCGAGAAAATAAACCAACGATGGAAACAAGACGCATTTGTCTTCTGCAGCTTTGGTGTACACTGATACAGTTGAGTTACCGCATGGCTCGACCATCTGGGCTTTTTATTACTGCGGCTCTACACTTCAAAGAGCCTTGGCCGCAAAGAAAGACCTCGCACAGCAAGCGTACCGATCTACAATTGGCTCTCCATGTCCACGGAATCACATTCGTTAAGATATGAAAGGCAAAGACTTGGACCCCGAAGATATACAGTATACAAAGGCAAAGAATCTCAGACGTAATGCGACGTAAAAATAACTGATCTCTTGTTACAAACTATTAGAATATTGTGTTGTCTTAAAGATTGTAGATTATATGAAGTTTGTTTTTATACAACGCAGGCTCTTATTGCACCGTAGAGAGTGTGTGTATGTGTGTGTTTGTGAGCTCTCTTTTCTAAACGAATCCAGCTGGGGCACACAACTTTCATTTCTTCCAAACATGTTTGTTGCCCAACTTACTGGTCTACATATAAAAGGAAACTTGCTATCAACAATTTTCACTTAAAAGTTACGTCTTCTCCTATACCTTGGCAGCTTGGCAGTGCTGGGGCTTAAACAAGTCTTAACCACTGAACTAATATTGCCCAAAAAACTTAATGCCCTGCCTTTAGTTGCCCAGGGGTGAACTTCAGAAAGCAAAAGTACTGCTGGGATTCAAACCCAGGCTCTCCTTTTTAAAAGGCAGACTCTTCAACCGACTAAGCCACAATGCCATTTCAGTGGCACCTTTTGGACGCGTTATTTAAAAAGATGACATTATTTTGCTGGTTTTGTAACCCCTGACTGTATCTTCTCTCCTTAGTAGAAATAAGGGAACATTAAGTCATAACAGGGCAATAAAAAAGTCAGCAGCTGCCTCCGGGCAGAAACTGGAACGTCTTAACTAAACAAAAGTAGCCTTGACGCGCATAGTTCGACCTTAAGCCCAGAGGGACAACCAAGGGTTGATTATGACTTTAACATCTGCTCAAAATCCATGTCCAAAAAAACACACACAGACCCATCTAAATGACCCACAACACCTTTTCCAAACACACAGATTGGGTGTTCTTTACACCTCCATAGGGATGTGCTGAAAGCTTGGTTTTTAATCTTTCACTCCACAATAATCTTCAGACCAGATTTAGAACTGTAGTCCATAAAAATTGCACCAACTAGCATTTGTTTCACAGTGCTAACCATCTCAGAACCCAGAATGTTATCATTTTAGCAGATTCCGCTATACTCCTATACTTTGTACATCTTAGAATGTTAGAGTTTATAAATAAAAAATTACCAGGCGTAATCAAACATGACTGCTGGCCAAGATGAGCTACAAGAAAGAGCAAGTGTTGTGAGCCATTTGATTAGCAGTTTGTTTCAATGTTGTATCAACTTCCATATCTTTCATACTCAGCTTTCCCCAAACACATGCAGGTTCACATGATGACAACCTGGCTTTGCACAGATTGCAATATTTTTAATAGAAAATCATACTGTAAAACAATGTCCAATATCTGGTAATAGCAGTCAAGGACATTGGACTTGTTCTGTAATCATGAAGACGTGCATCCACTCATCTACAGATCTTCAATAGTTTACCAATGGTCTGTAGACAGCTAGTAGACATCTCTGAGTAGATGTTTCAAAATCATCTGGATAACATACAAGCATGGTTGGATGTTATTTTACAGATCTACACGTGACTTACCATTCCAGCTCTCCTGGCTATGACCGTGTGGAACTGACCATCTGAAACTCGAACCATAGTCATGAGCTTGTAGGTGCCACTGCCCAGGTTAAAGGAAAATCTCATCCGGCCTTCGTAGATCTCCAGCGCCAGAAACTCAGCTTTGTCACCGGTCTGGTTGTCATGATTGTACATAATCAGGGCATTTTCCTTCAGTGTGGCAAACTTAATGTAAATATAATTATTGTTGGGATCCAAACTTGGGAACTCCATATAAGACAGCTCCTCAAATCCATAGCTGTTAAGCTCGCAGTGTTTTCCAAAAACGCCTGTAAAACAGGAAGCAATAATTTAGTATTTCTTCAACTGGTATGATGACTTTGCATCTCTTTCTTATGTAAATTCAAGCTAACAAGTGTTATGCATACAGAATGAGTAACAAACAATCCCCAAAATCAGACAACTTGGGGAATAAAAAAAAATAAAAAAAAATGACATGACGCATTACATTCTTAACGTATGGAATTTTCACTCCTAGTGGATCTTGATATTTTCCAGTATGACCTGAATCATGGCCAAGTCTGATAAACACTACTCGTGAACAAGCCTGGAACACCTGGCTTTTGCAGCTGGAGTGATGACTTACCAAACGGACAGTGACAGTAATAGCCTTCCACACGGCTCTGGCAGGAGCCTCCATTGAAACAGGGGTTACACTCACAGTAATTGATGATGGAGTCACAGGTTTTCCCTGAGTTCATGAAACAACACAAATGAAAATGAATGAGGTGAAGATGACATAGGCATATGGTGAAGGGCTGTTCATGTATGGGGCTCCCAGAAACCAACAGGGGATTTTATGTGTTTGCACTCTCTCTCTAGTTCTGGTATACTTCAACCTCCTCAGCCAAAACAATTCTGAAAGGCTCTCACCTTGTAAATGCACCCAAGTGTCTAAAAAAAATAGGGGGTGAAAACATATACCTGTCATGATAGCATTAGCTCTACATATATACCCTATCTTCACTAGATCTGGGAGGCCTATAAAATGAACATTACACAATGGGAGTAACAAAATAAACAGACTGTGATCAATACAAGATGGTAGGGAACATGCAAACTCATGAATTTGCAGAACTAAGATTTGCCTTTCTCATTTGCTCAACATGGTTGCAGAAATGTAAGACAAAAAACTTAAGGGACATAAATTCCTTCCCTACAATTGGGCCTACAAAACAGGAAGTTGGGGGTTCAGCAGGAGGGCAGGCAAACTACTGTAAGTCAATAGGTGTAATACTTCTGTAGCCCCCATTTATCTGGGGCCTCAGACATGAATGCTCACGATCATTTATTACGGTCATAATAAAATAGGACAACAATGACTCAAAGCTTGAGCGTGCCAGAGACAACCCGTCTGCTGTAGCTCCATATGAAGAGGCCCTTCCAAAAGCTACAGGCAGCAGCTGCCCAAACAGAGCTGATTCAATGTAATGTTATCGTAAACAGTTAAGTGTATTCATTCCCTTTACACACTAGCTCAGTTACATTTATTAAGTCTTCAACTAGCCGTTACATTTGGTAGGGGCTAATCTACACCACTGGGTGTTGACACTACAGGAACCATTCTAATTAGATCACTTTTCAGATGCTTGCTACATTCAACAGTTAACAGAAGAGCCCTGTTAAAGTATTTTCCCTTTCAAGACTCCATTAAGCAGTTTGCCAAATGAACTCTTAACTTACAGAGCTCTTCAAAGCATAAACATGGAAAGGCTTTAATCCACAGAAAGCAGGTAGTGAAACTTGACTCAAGTGCACTTAAGGTCAGCCTGTAGTTGTGTCCTTATTAGGGTCAAACTGTATCATCCCATTTACTTTAACATAAACATGACAAGTTGATATGTATCATAGCTGATACCCCCCAACCCGTAATCCTAACAGCAATTGGTTTTTGGCAGTCATCACTGAATGCTAGAGTTACAACACTTCTCCAATTTCTCAGAAGCAAATATTTTTCTTGGATCAAAACTTTGCTATATTTGTGTGCAAAGAGAATATGCAGTGGCTTGACCAATAGCTGCAGTGATGTTGCTCATAAGGTCTAGATGACATGTCGTACTATACCTGCAAATCCTGATTTGCAAAGGCAGTTGAAGCCACCGGGGAAATTTTGGCACAGTGCCCCATTCTTGCATGGATTAGACAGGCACTCATTGACATCCCTTTCACATGCCATTCCAGTGAAACCTTCTGGGCAGGAACATGAAAAGCCACCTACAAGGTTATGGCAGGTTCCTCCATTGTGGCAAGGTGATGGAAGACATTCATTGATGTCAGTTTCGCACAGACTACCAGCATATCCTGGCCTGCAGTTACAGACATAGGGTTGTAGGGGGCGATTTGAGACGAGAATGACTGGGACGCTCTCCACAGTCATCATGTCCGGGCCGACACCAAGGCGCCGTTTGCAGCTGCCGCCATTCTGGCAAGGGTTGTTAGTACAGGGGTCGTGGTCCACAGAATCTATTTTAACCCCACTTTGCCTGTGCAAGGCTTCTTTTATACTCTGGAAAAAAGTAGTCACACCACTTGGGTTTACATACTGTCCATGACCACGTTTGATAGCTGCCATAAGGAAGGTCTGGTTGTTCAACTCAAATGCCCCATAGAGCTGAACTCCAGTACCAAGACCTGCTAGCTGTGAGTTTGCGATGCGTAAGAAACTGAGGTAGTGGTTATTAAGGAAGTTGCTGATACTTTGGGAATTGAGTCGGATCAGTATGCTGTTGTCCACTGTAGCATTGCTGAACCCAATAAAGAAAACACGCACATTGCTGTTGACAGCACCATGTACACCATCGCTGCTCCGCACTGAGAGGTCAAATGTGCCATCCGTGGATCGGGAATTTGAACTGAGGTCACAGGTTCCTTTGGGAATACTAAAAAGGCTTGAAACAGGGGGGATCAAGGTGCAATGGAATGTGTCCTGTATATCTGGATCCTGAGGCTTCACAATCCCTAGGGACCCTCCAGGGAACATGTTGCCAAAGTAATGAACATAGATCTCAACAGAGCGAGGCTGAGAAGGGTTATCATTCTGGTCATTGACTTTGACATGGATGGTGCCTGTGGAAGACATTTGAGGAATGCCGGAATCTTTGATGAGCACAGAAAGGTAGAAATCACTGATCTGTTCTCGGTCTATCTCCCGACTGGTACTAAGCTCCCCTGATGAGGTTAAGGTGAAGTAAGTTGCAGCTGATGAAGTTGTAAGCAGACTGTAGGAGAAAGGGCCTTGATTTGGTGCCAGATCTGAATCAGTGGCGCTAAGGGTCATCACTGCCGTTCCAGCTCTCTGGTTCTCCATGACCTCTCCACTCATGGTCACTAATGTGGGCCCATTATCATTAATGTCCTCTAGAGTTACAATCAAAGTGGCAGTACCAGTAGCTGCGGGTGAGCCAGAGTCTATAGCCAGCAAGGTCAAGTTGTACACAGGTGTGGTCTCACGATCCAGCTCAGCTGCCACCGAAACCTGTCCAGTTTGTGGGTTGATTGTGAAAGCAGTTGATTCATGGTCAGCAGCAATGGAGTAGGTGAATCTGCTCCAGCTTGGCACCGAATCTGAATCCTCAGCACTCACAAAGGTGACAAGACCTCCAGGTGACAGCCCTTCACTAACTTGAACATCATATAACTCTTGAGTAAATACTGGAGGATCATTGGCATCAAGGATTGTGATATTCACAAACACCTCATCAATATCTGCCCCTCTTATACTACCTGCATTTTTGGCAAGGACTTTCAAGGAGATTTTTTCTTCTTTTTCACGATCAAGAGGTCCTGTGACATAGATCTGGCCAGTGTTTTTATTGATGCCAAAACCTTTTCTCCTGCTTCTGCCAAAAATCAAGTAATAAACAACACCATCCTGTCCCAAGTCCCTATCACTTGCAAACACCTCCCCAACAATGGTGCCTTTGGTTGCAGCCTCTGAAACCTCAAAGTAGTATTGCTTAGACACAAAACGAGGAACATATTCAT